GCCCCACCAGCAGTGGATGAGTATTCCCCTTTCCCCACATCCTCTCCAACACCAATATCATTTGTTCTGTTGATCTTAGCCAGTCTGACTGGGGTAAGATGAAATCTTAAAGTGGTTTTAATTTGCATTTCCCTAATTATTAGTGATGTTGACTTGATCTTGGTGAATGATATTTTTGATGTGTGTCTGTATGCGGTTTGAAAGTATCTTGTTGAGAATTTTTGCATCATTGTTCATTAAGGATATGGGTCTATAGTTTTCTTTTTTGGTTGTATCTTTACCTGGCTATGGTATTGGAGTGATGCTGGCTTCATAGAAGGAATTTGGAAGTTCTCCCTCCATTTCTATCTTTTGAATAAATTAAGTAGTATTGGATGTAAATCTTTAAATATCTGATAGAATTCTGCTGTAAATCTATCTGGTCCTGTGGGGTTTTTTAGTTGGGATGATTTACATTACTGTTTCAATTTCTTTTTGTGTTATGGGTCTGTTTAAGCTGTTAATCTCTTCTTGGTTTAGTTTTGGTGGTTCCCATGCCTTTAGATACCCGTCCATTTCTTTTAGGTTTTCATATTTAGTAGTATATAGGTTTTTAAAGTATTCCCTTATAATGTTCTCTATCTTTCTGGTGTCTGTTGTGATGTTTCCCCTTTCATCTCTGATTTTGTTGATTTGGAGGTGCTCTTTCTTTCTTTTGGTTAACTGGGCTAGTGGTCTGTCAATCTTGTTTATCTTTTCAAAGAACCAGCTCTTGGATTCATTGATTCTTTGTATTGTTTTCTTTGTTTCGATTTCGTTCATTTCTTCCCTGATTTTTGTTATTTCTTCTTGTCTGCTGTGTTTGGGTTTCGTTTGTTGTTGCTTTTCAAGTGTCTTGAGTTGCAGTATTAAGTCGTTTATTTGTCTTCTTTCCAATGTTTTGATGTAGGCACTTAGAGCTATAAACTTCCCTCCAAGGACTGCTTTCAATGTGTCCCAGAGGTTTTGTTGTGTCATATTGTCCTTTTCATTTAGTTCCAGGAATACTTTTATATTTCTGTCTTAATTTCTTCTTTGAGCCATTCATCATTTAGGAGTGTGTTGTTTAATCTCTGTGTGTTCATGTAGTTACTAGGGTTTATTCCAGTGCTGATTTTAAGCTTTATTGCATTGGGGTATTTGTTGAGGCTTGTCTTGTGCCCAGTTCTATTTTGGAGAGAGTTCCAGGCGGCGATAAATAGAAAGTATGTTCTGTGGTGCTTGGGTGGAATATTCGGTAGATGTCTGTTAGGCCCATTTGATGTATCATATTGTTTAATTCAGATGTCTCTCTGTTAATTCTGTCTCCTGTTGACCTATCTAAAGGAGACAATGGGGTATTCAGGTCCCCTGTTATTAATGAGTTGGGATTAATCTAGGTCGTCAAGTCCTGTAGTTCTGTTTTTATGAAGTTTGGTGCACCACATTTTAGTGAATATATGTTCATGATTGTAATGTCTTGGTTAATTGTTCCTTTGATCAGAATAAAGTGGCCCTCTTTATCTCTTCTGATTAGTTTTAGCTTAAAGTCCATTTTGTCAGCTACAAGAATTGCAACACCTGCTTTTTTTCTTATTACCATTTTCTTGGTGTATTTTTTTCCATCCTTTCACCTTAAGGTAGTGCCTGTCCTTGAAAGTGAGATGAGTTTCTTGCAGACAACAAAAAGATGGGTTTTGTTTCTTAATCCATTGAACTAATCTGTGTCTTTTGACTGGGGAGTTCAGTCCATTGATATTTAAAGTTATTAATGAAAGATGTGTATTGATTCCTGTCGTTTTCATTTCTGTTCGCATTCTTTGTGTGTCTGTGCCTTTCCAGTTATACCTGTTACAGTTATAATGAAGTTATAACTTCATTAAGTTTTTTTCTGTAACCCCTTGGGTATAGTGGTTCTTCAGCTCTTTGTATTGTTTTAAGAACACTCTGAAGGGTTGGTTTTGTGGTCATGAATTCTTTCAGTGTATTTATGTCATGGAAGATTTTCTTTCCCCTTCAACTATAACAGATATTTTGGTTGGATAAAGTAATATGCATTGGCATCTGTGGTCATTTAGAACTGGAAATACTTTGGTCCAGCCTCTTCTGGCTTTCATAGTTTGCACTGAAATGTCAGCTCTGATCCTGATGGGTTTGCCTTTATATGTGACTTGTTGTTTTTCTTTTGCAGCTTTCAGTATTGTTTCTTTGTTCTGTAGGTTTAGTTTTTTTACTTGATGTGCCGTGAAGTGTTTCTTTTCTGGTCCTGTCTATTTGGTGTTCTGTATTCTTCTTGTATTTCTATGAGCATGTCTTTCTTTAATTTTGGTAAATTTTCTTGTACAATCCTGTTGAAGATCTGGTCTATATCATTATCTTGAGGTTCTTCCCGTTCCTGTATGTCTATGATATGCAAGTTTGGTCTTTTTATTGTGTCACACAATTCCTGCATATTCCAGTCTTGTGTTTTCTTAAATTTTTCATAATCTCTGCTTGAGTGGTCTAATTTGTCCACTTTGTCTTCCAGTCTTGATATTCTGTTTTCCATTTCTTTAATCCTATTGGTAAGGTTTTCTTCTGTCGTTTCTAATTGGCTTACTGAGTATTTCACTTCCTTAATTTCAGCCTGAGTAGTTTTCAATATTTCTAACTCCTTTCTGAATTCATTCGGAAGTTTATCCCTATCTCCTTTCAGTTCTTTGATTTCTTTGTGTGTTCTTTAAATTCATTGAATTCTTTTATTGTGTTAATAATTGTTCTTTTGAATTCCATGCCCTGTGCTGTCTCTAGGGGGTTCTCATTGTACTCCTTTTCAGGACTTTTGGTACTTGGTGGGGGTATATTATTTGGTTTTTCGTGTTATGATTTTTTTCTCTGTGACTTGTGGATTTGTTTTGTACTTTGTGATTTTTGTGTGAGACTTTCTTTGTTGAGTTTAGGTCTGCTTCTTTTTGGAAACTTGTATGTGCCCATGTGGTTCACTTGTTGAGCATGAAAACCTGGTTGTTCTAGGCTTCGGGTTCTGTCTTTGGTTTTATTTGAGGGGATGCCAAATTGCTTTTTTCTTGCTGCTCAGGAGTTCCCCCAGAGGCCCATGTTGGATGAGGATCAGATGCTCTTGTGCTTTCTCCTAAGGTCTGGATCTCTCTAGGAAAGATGCTGGCCTCAGGAATTTAGGGGCTGAGCTGGCCTGGGACCAGCAAAGATGCTGGCCCCTGGAAGCTGGGGGGTTGGACCACCTGGGAATGCAAAGGGAAGCGGGGTTAGGAAGAGTCCCTAAAGGCTCCCAGGGAATACAGGGAAGAATTGGGTTGGTCTGGATGCAAAAGATCAGGAAGCAGTGAGGAGTCTGGGCCAAGAGGCCAGTCCAGAGGTCTGGGGTGTCAAGACAAGAAATAGGCCAGTGTCCAGGCTAGGAGGAGATATGGGTTTGGGGAGCTGGGAGGGTGAATGAGACTGGGGTAGTCAAGGCACAGTGGGTGCTGCGAACTTACCCAGGAAAGATGGTGGCCCCAGGACACTGGTTGCTGTTCTGCCTAGGGACCCAAAGGGAGGTGGGGGTAGGAACAGGCCCTGAGGTCTCCGGGGGACTACGGGGAGGAATTAGGTTGGTCTGGTTGCAAAAGATCAGGAAGCAGTGGGAAGTCTGAGCCAAGAGGTCAGTCCAGGCATCAGGGGTGCCAAGACAGGAAATGGGCCAGTGCCCAGGCTAGGAGGAGAGATAGGGTCAGGGAGCTGGGAAGGTGAATGAGACTGGGGGAGTCAAGGTGCAGAGGGCGCTACCTAACTTAACCCAGGAAAGATGCTGGTCCCAGGGAGCTGGTGACTGTGCTGTCCAGGGATGCAAAGGATGGTCAAGTTTTTCTTTAGAAAAGCTGTCATTTGGCCGCCTATGCTTTCTGTAGAGATTCGAGGACTTAAAATGCCTATTAGCCCATCATCTTTCTCGTTCCCTGGTCCTGGGGTATCATTTCTCCAGTTATGGCAAGTCCTCTACAGCTACTAGCGCTTTGTTGTACTTGGCATAATCAGTGTTTTGAGTGTATCCCTGCCATCTTCTCAGTCAGAAGAATTGAGAAGTCTGAAGGTTTAAAAGTACTGTTTGAGCTGGACTTCATTCTTAGCTATAGCATTAAGGCCCAGGTGACTGCTAAGAATAGTAAAGCGGCAAGAAAAACAGCAGTAGTAACGTTGCTGGTGTCGTGATTGCTGGTATTAAACCCACATTGCTGCTAGTTTTGTCTTCTGAATCAGTAGTAGTAGATTTTTGAAGCAGAGTAACACTAGAGTTTACAAAACAGGAATTTTCTTTATACCTGCCATATTTAGCTTCATACAGGCAAGTTACCAAATATTGCCATTTATGAAACGATGTTTAGAGTTCGAAGCTGTGGGTTTTGTTGGTTGTGTAAGAGGCCTTTGTTTTTCTGAGAAAAATAATAATTTTCCCTTTATTTTTAGTATCAGCAGCGTCGCCAGCAGGAGAATATGCAGCGCCAGAGTCGAGGGGAACCCCCGCTTCCTGAGGAGGACCTGTCCAAACTCTTCAAGCCTCACCAGGCCCCTGCCAGGATGGATTCCCTGCTCATTGCAGGTATTGGGGAAACCGATGGCTGGCTCCCTTCTTTAGGGAGCAGAAGAGAATGAGAAATTCAGAAGTGACAAAGTGGACTGTTAAAAACTATGTTTTATGAATGGCTAAAGGTTGAATTTGTGTCTAGCAGCTGTAGTTTCTGAGTGTAAGAATTTGTGAGCCTGGTGTTTCTTGGATCCTTTCAGTACTTCCCTTGGTATGTCTGAACATTTTTGAGCTAGAATTACAAGCTTTCTGAGATAGAAAGGTTTGATATCTTCAGTGAACAAGAAAAGGTGTTTATATCTTCATAGTAAAAGACCATGTAGTTCAAGCCCCTTTCATCCTCTGCTCTAATGTGTGCAGTGGGAACTTAAACCAAGATGAAGTTTCTGATGTGAGGAAAATACTGCCTTTACTTTGACTGTGTTAACATCAATGCAGTTCTGAATGAATCTTCTTCTGGGTACTTGCTATTGACTTTTCTCTAAGTGTTTGCTTTTAATTTATAGCATCCACACTCTTATTTGGCTATAATATTTCTATAGACTAGAAAGTTAGTGTTCAATCAGCTAGTGCCTATGGGAAATGTATCAGAGTGAAGACAGTAAAAGCTTATCTTCCACAATTTCTCAGTTCTACTGATCGAGTTTTTGAGTTGGTGAAATTCAAATTCCTTAAAACTCCAGTATGCGTAATAAAATTTAAAAGACTTCCTGTTTCCTGTGAGCACTAGGGTTAAGTCTACAGCCATCCTCATGCTTTTTGTGTTGGTTCTTGGTCTTGCTGGTATGTCTATGGGTCAGAGTGAGATGATCACCCACAGTGGATAGCCTGCACCCTTGGCTAAATGAACTCTTCCAACTTAAATTGCTTTAAGTCTTTCATGTCTAACTTATCGGGTGGGCATCAGGGTTCATGAGTACCATTAGTTGTTCTCGTTGAAAGTTCAGTTACATGTGATCAGTGCAGTTAGATTTCACTGGCCACATGCCAGTATCATGCTATATTCAAAATCACTTTCCAGTTAACTTGGGAATTAAGCTTTAAATTCTAGGTGGCACAGTGACCTTGCAGCCCTGTTATGCCAGCTGCCTTGGGATTTCACTGCCTCTCAGGAGTGGGAATAATACCTGTGGCTATCATCTTTTACCATTTTTTACCATTTTCTTTTCTTTAAATTTTTTAAAATTACATTTGTATTGTGCGTGTGTGTGTGTGTGTGTGTGTGTGTGTGTGTGTGTAGGGGGGGCCATGCCATGGCACATTTATGGAGAATGGAGAACTTTTTCTCTCCTTCCACCATGCGGGTCCTGGGAATTGAACTCTGGTCATCAGCATTGGTAGCAAATGCCTTTACCTGATGATCCATCTCATTGCCCCTCCCCCTTTACCATTTTTATAAACCTTTAAAAAAATTATTTATTTTAATGTGTGTTTGCCTACATGTATGTAAGTGTTCTCATGTCATGCAAAGCCCACAGAGGCCAGAAGAGGGCATCGGATCCCCTGGAACTGGTGTTATGGACAATTGTTAGCCACCATGTGGGTGCTAGGAACCAAATCTGGGTCCTCTGCAATATCAGCCAGTGCTCTTAACTGCTGAGCCATTTCTCTAGTGTCCCCTTTGCCAGTTTTAGTGGGCAATCTTTTTTAAATGAAAAGCTTGTTGTGCTATTTATATTTCCAAATGCTTTGGGTGGGATCAGGGGTATCCCTAGATTTAAAATTCCTTATGAAGATATTAATAAATCTTTTCAGTTCAGGTCATTTGTAGTGCTGACACTTTCCTATAACATGTAGCTGTGCATTGAGCTCGGTGAGTCGCTTTCTGACATACAAAGCACCACTTTAAGGGCACTGCTCCTGCTCATTCTTCACTCAGGGAAAGGGCCTTTAAACATTCTTAAAGATCAGGCTGAAAGCGAAGCTGCCTGTTCACCTTGGATCAGATGGGCCCAGCTGAGTTGCAGGTTGTGGGTCTGTTTTGTTACTTCTTGCTTTCGGTCTGCTGAGATGTGCTGTGCTGTTTTCTCAGTTGTCTTGACACTTGGTCTGATCTGTATAAAAAGCTTATAGGAGCTCATGGCAGATAACTTTTTGAAATGTATAATTTTTCTTCATTCTTCATGTAGTCAAGAATGGAAGATAGCTTCTTTTCAAAAGACTTTATATTTATTCATTATCTCTTATGGAAAAATAGAATTAGGTTGATTTTCCCTTTTTAAAAAATAAGTAAGTTCTTGATTCAAAACAAAACACTGGTGATTTTGGTTTTAGTGTTCTAGGTTGTCTTGTGATTTGTTGACTGCTGATTCTGAC